AAAAAAAGTCAAATCCCAAAAGCATAATAGTGTCAAAGCAGAAAAAGATTATAATTGTCTTATGTTAAGAGATGTATTAATTTAGATTGAATTCACGTTAGATGAAAAAGCTTTTATTTTAAAAAGTTCCCAACCCATGAAAGCATCTAAAGGTCAGAAAATTAATTACTCCAAGAAAAAGAAAGCAAACACAACTCAAATTATACAGGTTCTGGAAGGACTCTTTGAGTTCAGATTTCCAGGATAATTGGTATTACCAAGTAATCTGCCATTATTCCAAAGTCACAGCATAAAGTTTCTAAGGAATTTATATTGTTACCACTTGAGTAGCAGAAAACAGTTTAAGATTTAAAATAATATAACATACATTCATTTTCTTTTTCTGTTTCTTTTATTTGCATTCTCATTAAATCACACAATGCCTCTTCAGGCCTGATTTTTAAGAGCATTCTTACATATCCCACATATCTAGTAGTTCTAGAAGATGTGAGTGGTGCTTTTATAATCAGTCATCAATTCAGAGTCCTGGCTTAGAGCACAGATTTAAATATTTGAGCCAGGCAAATATTTCTGTAGCCTAACTACAAAGTGTTCAAATTTTATTTCTACAATAATCTCCAGTCTGTGAACTTGGGAACTTGATTTAGTGTATTGTGCTTACAAGCAGCAGCTGAGAAGTCACTTGAATGGCAGAGCTGTGACAATACATGGAAACTGGCCATTGATTGCACATGTATTTGGGGCACAGTGGTCTGGATGAACCAGAGCCACAGGACATCAATACAGCCTAACAACCCTTGGACACAATATGTTCTGCTCGTAAAAATGTCGTAAGCACATGAAAGCAGAGTAAAGCAACCTTCTTCACACTGGATGAAAAAAAACAAATATAATCTAAGTGAATGGCCACTTTTTAAATATGACATTTGAGGGGTGGGGGTTAGTTGCACAAAACAAAAAGATCATACGCCTATCATTTAACATCAATAGAGACATTTAAGGAACTTAAAGGGTAAGCGTGGCATCACTTGGTTCCTGTTTCATCACTCAGCTAAGTTCCTATTCTCACTTTTGTTAGTTCCTCTATTTACTGTACAAGCAGGACCTGCATTCCAGGTGTTCCTCCTTCCCTTGACATGAAATGTATCCACATCCTACTCCACCTACTGAATTTTTACAGGACTTTTATTCTACCACACCAAGAAGCAGCTGTAAAAGGGTTAAGGCAGTCCCTGCCACTGTTTCACAGGATTGGAGTGGCTTTGTGACCACGGGTGAACTAGCACCCACTTCTTTACCAAAACAGACAAAACCTCTAAGCCACTTTTGAATACCACTAAAATAAGAATGAACCAAAGATTTCCATTACTTCCTTAAGGAATGAATGAATGTGTGCATTATGAATGCAAGGGAAGTTTAGAGATCTCCTCTGATTATGTTGTTTCGGGTGGAAAATCATAATCATTTTTCCCTGTGCAACTACAGTTTGCCAGTAACAGTCTGGGAGAAAATATCACTGCACAAATAACCACTCCATTCTAGTAAAGACCCTTGGTAGCAAATGCATATGCTTCAGAAATTCTTAAATTTTAGCCCAAGAACAAAAAGAATGAAAATACATATACCAAACTAAAGTAAGGCAGCAGAAGAATTAAAAAGCAGCTGAGACTGCAGATTTACTCAGCCAATCCCCAGCACAATGCAGAAGTGCTGGAAGAGTAGTTCAGCTATATTTGTACACATAACTGAAAATTCAACAAAACTTCAACCAATTCCAGCTGAGACAACAGAATCCTGTTACTTCAAGCTGTATCATTACAGGCTAAGCAAAACAGATGTTTCCTTTGTTGTGTTTCACTGAGTAACAGAACAAATTCATTGTCTGAAGTGTCTCATCACAACACGACTGTTGTGAAAATACCCCACATTTACAGTCACATAATGCTGCTGAGAAAACAGGGAGGGGGTAAAGAAACTCAAAATGTTTTCCTCAGCTTTACAATTAAATAGAGATCACATTCTCTTAAGGCAGGCAGAAATTTGTAAATATTAACAGCACTCACAAAGCTACAGATGCATTTATAAGCAGATGTGCAGAATTACTGTCAAAAGCCTCTCACCTGCTCTTCTGGCTGCTGCACTGGGAATTTAGTTCAAAGGGGGGAAAAAAATGCAGAAGCCTATTAGTCTTTCCACACCTGACATACAGAGTCGATATAATTAGGAACACGAGAGATGTGAGCGGAAAGACTGCAGCTTATTGAGCCTAAAAACTGGAACTGAGTAAAAACACGTCTGCAGCATGTGACATGAAACAGGCAGGTATTTTGGTACAGCCTAAAGGAAGTCAATAAGAAATACATTATTTTAACTGAGTATATAGTAATTGGTTTAACCAGATGTGCTATTAGCCACAATACAGGAGTATTATCTTATTATTAGGATAATACTCACCATTTACTTGATTTAGACAAATCAAGTCTAAATTGACTGTAAGGAACATAAAATTGTTGCTTCAGCACTAAGTACCAAGAGCTAAGAACTCCCAAATACAGCTTCTTCCCCCCACTTTGATCACACTTTTCTCCCCTTCATCAGCTTAACACCAAATACAGGATGCTGCTGCCTAGCTACTTCAAATCTGGAAAAAACAATTTGCTTCAGCCAGTAAATACTGCAAAGGAGCATTTACTGGGGGAAAAAAAATCATTTTTATACCTGAAGATCCTTTAGTCTACTTCCTCAGGTACAGATGTGACTGTAGCATACCTGACGTGTTTTACGCAGTTCACTGAAAATATTCACAGTATCCTAACTGACAGGGAAAGTGGCTGGTGTTAAAAACTTGTCACAAAACTTGTGTTAGAGTAAAATTATGCAATTTTTAAAAACTTACTCGGTCAACTTAACACTTATATACATATTCCAGTCATCTCCTTTAATATGGCAAATAGTATTAAAGGATTGAAAATAATTAAGACTAGAAAATAATTAAGACTAGAAAACAATTGCTTTTACTTATGAGAACAGGATTCAAGTGCTTGAAAACAGAGCACAATGACATAGTACAGCCTTGTCCATTAACCAGACACTCATGGAGACTTTATATTATCCAGCACTAGCTCCTGTACAATACTCAGACTACTAGACAGTTTAATTGCTAAGTATTAGATATAATTGCCTTCCACATATTTAAAGTGTAATGAGATTTTTCCCCCTTCCAAAAAAAAAAAAAAAACCTGAAAAAAAGGAGCAAAAGTAGTGAATTATGGTGTTTACTATTAGCAAAATATTAAAGTTGTATGCACTGTTCGTCAGGATGAAATTAATGCCTTGCTGAAGCATAAATATTTATCCAGTGCAAACAGCAGGAAACCTTAGGAGACAGCATAGCTTTAAGCACCAAAGTGCGTTAATTAGTACCCAGTGCAGCTTCAGAGCATGCTACGCTATTTTTAAATAAAGGTTAGCTTCCAAACAGAGGAAAGTAACAAAATGTAAGAGATAAGATAGCCTAAGAAAGCTGTCCTTAATAGCTATCAAAAGTGCCCCAAATATACATTTTTTGTCACAAAGTTTAGAATGAGAGCTCTTGTGCCAATCAGGATGGAATACAGATACTCAGCAACTTTTACATCAGCAATAAGCATGTTTTACTAGCATCACTTTCACCTAAATTTCTCTGCTAGGCTTCAGTTGCTATACAGAATTTCATCTCATTAGAGGCTAGAGACAGAAAAACAAAAACATACATCTGTTTTGAAGAGATAACCCATTTCCAAGTCTTTGTCTCAACAATCAGATGATTCTTCAGCATTGCTGGTCATTTATAAATTAAGAAACGTTTCATGCACGCCCTCACTCCCCATGGCATTCTCCATATACAAGAGTGATGATAATTAAATATCTGTCCAAATTCCATGTCCTTTATTGATTCCAGTTCTAATAAATAATGCTACTAATAACAACTGTTTATTGAACCCATCTGTTTTACATTTGTACACCATTCAGAAGTTACACTGAAGCCTTATAAACAGAACCCTTAATTCATCACACGAACAGCAACATTCTCTTCTTTCTGTCACTACAAAAAAAAAAAATAAGGTCACATTCAGACAATTTCAGGACTCACTTGGCTTTAAGTTATACTGCTTTCATCCACTGTCCTTCCAGTCGTTAGCAAAGCATGGAAGTTCATGTGGGGATGTGACTAAAGAAATTGCCATAAATAACAGTTGCCCTCACAGACTCAGCCAAGATGCTATTTTTATTCTGCTCTTCTTGAACCTGGTCCTGATTAGGGCAAAGGCTTCAAATCAGTTCCACCAAAAGTAAAAGAAAATACTTCATATCCAGTACTAATTAAGAAATGTTGTAAACTGAAAACTATTACATTTGTTAGATCTTTCAGATGCTGGTTTTGGTGTTTTGGGTTTTGTCTAATCCAAGAGTATTTGAGTTTTCATGCTAGCAAAGTTCCAACACAAATGCTGACAGATATCTGATTTACAGAAAGAACAAATGCAGAAGCATTTCACCTGTCAGCCTTGTGTATAACTTTTAAAATTTTAAATGTTTTCAAATAACTTTATATAATTCAAGTGTCAGTTGTTTATAGAAAAAAATCTCAAGTTCATGCAGAAGTACTTCATCTAAAAAATGTGTGCATACACTTACACATTATAGAGTAAAGAGTCTGGCCATCGCAGGAATAAGCATTTTAATGGCATGCAGAGCTTGAGAAGCATCTTTAAACAAAGCCTAGTAGCAATATGCAGTTGCTACATATTAAAGACATTTCCATACTTCAGTACTCCTTGACTTCAACAACACTGACACAGATTTCTGTCCTTATCCTGACACCTTGTTGCTGCCTTCCAAGATTATCTTACGAAGCACTTCAATTAAACTAATCCAATTTAAATTTCTAAATAACTGATGTTAATAAAAAAATGCTTTAATTCCAACACATTCTCCACTTCCAAATGTGCATTTCATACCTCACCATTTCAATTCTAGCAACTGAGGGCAGCAAATGCCAAAAGGGCTGTTTTTCCTGGAACAGAAAGAAAACACATTTAAAGAAAAGATCTCATGCCTAAAATTCTCACTTGAGTAGTCTTTTTAATACATATACTTGCATAATTAAACAGAACAGCATTAACAAAACAACAGCTGTAATTCTCCTAAGCAGGGACACTACAAGATTCCAGTAAATCAAACTCTTTCAAGTACATCCTACCAAGTATAAGCTAACACACTGAAAGACACTGCTTATAAACCGCAGGTTTTAAGTATGCTGTACTGCCATAATCCCATGGAAGTATCAGAGATTAGACAGAGTCACTCCAGTCAAACTATTTAACCTCAGAAGATAATTAGAGATGGGCAGTCTTCAGTTTTTCTGTAGTGTACGAGGTTTGGGCACCAGTTCTCTTCAAAGAAAAGAGTATGCAGGCAGGGAAGGTCACACTGTCAGGCTTCTCATTTCCTATGTAGCAAGATCAGATCCCCTGCTTGAATTTCACACACCTTGCTCTTGGAAGGGCTGACTGCTTGGTAACACTGGATGTAACACGCGAGAGCAGTGATTCACAGGTGTAACTTCCACTTCTGCTAACAAAACGACCCACACAGTCCTGTGGGAGACCTGAGGATAAGCTTTGTACCCAATCTTCCATTTGTGAGAGAGAGGAAGTGTGCCAGGTTATGCAGAGAGCACATTTGTCAAAGGGAAAGGCTGGGAATGAAACCTGACCTGGCAATTCACCTAACGGATTTAAATCTAAGCTCCTCCATGGAGGCTTTCTATGTTTGCTGAGTGCACAGGTGATCCTTGTCAAGAGCCCAAGAGCTACTATATTTTAACATTCTCATCAACATAAACATTTATGCCTCATAAAAGTTTCATCTGAAAGCCTCAAATACTCCACAAGCTCTTAGTCCCAAAGGGAAACCTGGGAACTGTGATTTGTCTCTAAGAAATCATTTTGCAATCTATGCATTCTCCATATAACCTCAAAAAACACAGTATCATATCAGACCATTTATTTTCTAATTAAAATAACCAGACATTATGCAACATTTCAAAACTAGTAATTTAAACCTCCAGAATGAACAAGTTGATTTTCACATTACATCCATTCAAGTCTGTGACAGGTTAAGAAGACAACCTATTATGTACCTTAAGGTAGGCTTTAATGAAAATAATTTTTCTGACAGGAACATGAGGAAGGTTCAAGATACTGGGGTTTTAGAGGAATGTGTACTACGAATGAGACTTTCAACTCAGTGACTTACTATTATGTTTGACCCAGTCACATGCATGAGCAAATGGGCTTGTCTCTCAGCTTAGAGCCAGCCCCATTGCGCTAAGTAAAACACAGATGACACACACCATTTGTAGTGCCCAGCCTTACAATATCTCATGCACATGCTTGTGATACGAGTCCTCACAAAATTAGAATCCAAATGACTTAACTACCCAGCTATGCCTGGGAACACGTCTCCCATGGACTCTCTCAAGTGAAAGCAAACCCGCCCATTCAGGAGACCACAGCAGAATTCCAACGTGATTCTGCCCCTGACAGCCTTTTTCCTTGGAAGAAGCTTTCTGATGAAATTTAACATGTCCCTTTAAAACAGCTCACCACTGCAAGGAAATGAATTGTTACAGTTAATAAATCATCCCAAGTAGTACCGAACTTCCTCAAAACTATCATCCCTCTCATAAAAGGCCTATTAAAAGTCCCTTCCTTCACAAAGAGGACAGAAGCAGACAAGTTTTGAATTTCAAAATTAGCATTTTCGTATTTTTTTTCCTACTCTGGAGGAAAAAATATATCCAAAAACACTGCCAGAAGGATCTAAAATTCAACTTCAAAGTATATTACTTTTACTGAAACTATTTCACTGATGAAACTACAATAGATTGCAAATTCATTTGACCACATTATACAACACTGCTTACTTTCTGTAACATAAAAGAACGTGTTGAAAGGTGGAGAGAAGAAAAGCAAGACGCCTTTGGGGGCGTGAAACTATATGATTCTAACCCCAACCTTTCTATGATATTGTGGAAAGTACAAACTTCTGAAAAAGCACTGTAGCACATAAGTCCATTACTGGAGGGAAAAACTGCAGAAAAGCCTTTCAGACACCACGAAATGCAATCATCAATGTCACTCTACGCTTTGCTCCATATAACACTGCTTTTTGCCTCTTTGCAGTGCCATTTGCTCAGCTTGCCTTAAAAAAAATAAGTCACTAATTCTGAATTTGCAGCTAACGAGCCGAACACTAATCATGTAATAGAAACTTTCATATTTTGCTCTTCTACAGTCATCTCCTGACACACTGGCAGTGTACGTTAAAACTTCTGAAAGCTCGATACTATCAGGACTTCGTAATCTTCAAGAACACTAATCTTGTCCCTGTGAACCTAAGGCCGGGCAGCTTTTTCGGCAGAGGGCTGGAATTCAATTGGACAGGGAACAAACGTGATGGCTGTCGGGATTACACGGGACAAGACAAATCCACGGGCACTGTCTCTGCTTTCATCGTTACCTCTGATACACAAAGCACATGGAAGGTCCCTTCAATTTGATGTGCGCCAAGTGAAAGCACGCAGCCGGCGGCGGCACAAGCCCGGCGGCGCTGCCCGCTCCGAGCCAACTCCGCGGCTCTAACTGTTGCTGCCACCTCCCGCATCCCCGCGGCGGGCACCAACGCACCGCGGCAGCCCCGCCGCCCAACATCCCCACAGCACGGCTTGGGATGAAGGCGTGGGCAGCACGCCGCCCAACTCTGCCCCAAACCTCCCCACGAAGGTCCGCGGTGGGGCCGGGAAGCCGGCTGCCAGGCACCGCGCTACCAGCCCTGCTCCGGGGACACGGCGGGAGCAGCTCCTTTGTCTCTCCCGCAGCCCCGGCCGCCTTCTCCCGGCGGCACAAGGCGCCGCTGCCCCGCCGGCCCCCAGACGCCCCGGTGATGCCGCCGTTTGCCCGCTGTGCCCTGCCGCAGCCGGACCGGGCGCGGGCGGTTCGCGACGAGCGGGCGGCCAGACACGGCCGGGATGCCGGCGGGGCCCCGGGAAGACCCGCGGGAAGGGGGGAATCCGCAACCGGTGCCCGGAGCGCCGCCCCGCAGCCCCGCACCGGGGGCAGGGAGCCGCCCTGACCCTCCATCGTCCCCGGGCACCGGCCCTGCCCCCGGCAACTCCGCCACCCCCTCCCGGCCTCCCTCCCCGCGCCCTTCACCCACCGCCGCCCCGGCGAGTCACGGCCGCTCCAGCCGCGCGCCGCCGGCTGCCCCAGGGTGGGGCGCGGGACCTGCAGCCTGAGGGGGCTCAGCCGGCCGCGAGTTGACCGACGGCCGCAGCCGCCCCGTCGGGATGCGCCAGCCCCGCGCGGGAAAAAAAGTTGTCCCCGCGGGAGCGGCCAGGAATCGAACTCACCCTCCCGCCCGGCAGCTCCGCCGCGGCCGCGACTCAAACTCACCCTCCCGCCGGGAGCGGCAGCGGCGGCCGGACACCGCCCGGCCCCGCCGCTGCCTGGCGGCGGCCGCAGCCAACCGCAGCGCGCAGCGCGGTCACGCCAGCCAATAGCGCGGCAGAGCGGGCCGTGCGCGCGCCCCGCGCCCCGATGGGCGGGGCCGGCCCGCTCCGAGGCCGGGCGGGAGCAGTGGGCGCGCTGTGAGGGCGCCTCGGGGCGGGCACGGAAGCCGGACGAGTCCTCGGTCCCGCCGCGGCTGGGCCGGGAGCGAGGTGCTGGGGGAAGCTCGAGCGGAGTCCGGAGCGCTGGGCAGAGTCGTGCTCCGTGGGGAGATGCGCCCTCCGGGGCAGCGCCCGCTCCCGAAACTGCCCTGCGAGCGCGGGTGGCAGCGGGTGCTCGGAACAAAACGGGCGGCAGCGCTTGGGATGGGTTCGAGAGAGCGGCACCGGAGCTGCTGTGTTCTACTGCTGTTCCAAATCACACACTCCCCCCGGCCTGACACTTGGAAATAAAAACAGAGCTGGAGGTAGGAGCGGGGGGAGCAGTCAGGTCTGGCAGTGCCCCAGCCCGGCAAAGGTACGGCTGACAGCTCCGCAGGAGATGCTTACGGGCACCCTGATGGGAATGGCACGGAATTGAATGCCTCTTAACTTTCATCTGGCGTGTCTTTATCATTATTTAGATACTGGATTCTTACCAGCTTACCAAGTGAAGCAATTCTGGACAAATCTCATTCCACAGCACTCCAAGGCCTTTTCAAATTCAAGTAATATTTTTTCCCCTATTCCTTTTTTTCTACTGACATCCTTGGACTGCTCTGAAGAACGATCTTGAAATAAAGCTATGTGTCTGACGAATAGCTACTTTTTATTTTTTCTTTTTTTTTTTTTTTTTTTTTTTTTTTTTTTTTTTTTTTTTCCACCAGAATTTCTTTGTAAGTATGCTGTCACGATGTAAGTTTTATTCCTCAGAAGCACGCATTTCCAGTAATCCTCTGGATTAATAAAGATTAAGTTAATCAGTAATCTAATTGCTGTGTGGTGAAATTAAGGCAAGGAGGCTGTGATTTGATCTGTGTCAAATATATAATGACAGAGCCTTAATTAACACCACCAGCACTGTCACAAGGTGCTGTCCCATATTATTACTCATTTAGAAGCCATGGTCTTCTATGCCTTGTACAGGTTCTTTTCCTCAGTTATTCTGTACAGGTAGATAATGTGTTCACACACAAGTTGATTGACTTCTCTGGAGCATGGAACTTGAGAAAATACCTGGTTCAATCTACTTCTTACTTGGCCATCCTGCATATGGACATCAGTATCATTGTGTCTGAGCTGTTTCTAGGCTTGTGCTGTTGTACCATTTATTTCCATAGGTATTGTTGACAATAAAATATGTGTTATTTTCAAGGACCTTTTATAATATAAACCATAATACATAAAATCGCTTTTAGAATATAAATGTCTTACTAAGCCATTTGTCTTTAGAATACTCCCACTGTGTTATGGTCTAAATTCATTCTGTCATCAGTTTCTATGACACTGGATAAAATAGGTCTGTTCTCTTGAAAAGATTGATATTAATTCCAACAAAGGTTTATAAAGGCTTTATTATTTCACTAAGATGAAGAGAGACAGTTAAATGCCATAATCTTAGGAAAAACAAGTGGAACTTTTAAAGAGAGACAATAAACTTTTACCTTTGAAAAAATACACATCTGTATCACAGCCAGAATACTTAACAGCTTGGGGATTTTGGTTTTTTAAAGCCCTTTATCTGACTTTCTCTGTACTCCCATCACTATTTCTGCCAACAGCATTGCAGGCATACACAGCTTCCATCACAGTGTCTTTCCCACCTGCTGCCTGCAGCTATTCCCGAGACCCTCCTGGTTTTTGTGAACCAACAGCTACAAAAAAGGCCAAGTCAATTCAGTCTGAAGAGAACCAAGTAGAAAAACCCAAGTATTAACACGGTTCTGTCCCCTGAGGTGGTTTACTGCTCAGTTCTGCAGTTCTGAGAGGACCAAAGGACAAGCAATGGAAGCAAAGATGCAGCAGTGCAGGAGGAGTTTCTCAGCCTGCACACTCAGACCCAGTGTCAGGAGGGAGACTGGCTACTGATGTGGCTTGTGACATACTAAGTGACCCTGATAATTGCAAACAGAGGTATTGAGATCATGCTATCATTAGTCGTTAATTTTACTGTTATTAATGTGCTATAACTCTAATGATTATCAAAACTAATGAATCATCTGCGAACAAAAGGCATGCAAATTATTCTCATGCAGCAGATAACTGTCCTTCAGTGTCAGGTCACATTAGCAAAAGAAAATAGTTCACCTTATATTACTTCCACAGATTTTATTTTTTTACCTCCTAAATTATTTTAGTGTTTTAAGCATTCTTAGCACATTAGCCTTAAATATTCTAGATGCACATAAAAGTATGCAATATGTTTTGGTTTTAATGTGTTTAGATTTTTGTGCAAAGATGTACACATCACTGCAATTTATTCTTATGTTTAAGGCAGGGTTTTTTTGCCATTAGCAGTCCATTTCAAACTGCTCTCTCTGAGGAGGGCCACAGAGAACCAGAACTTTTGTTCCACTTTCACAGCAGTCAGGACTGTTCAGTGCTGTTTCACAAAACAGTATTTCCAGGAAGAAGAGATCTTCAGATTTCATAAATTAATCTCATTTCTCAGAAATATAATTTGGAACCTAGAGCTTCTGCCTGCCACATAATTTTCAATCTCTGCCTATTCATTACAAGTTCTTATATTTAGATATATAATGGAGTTGTAAGCTTCTTTAAAATTAGAAATCCTTGATAAATAAATACTTAACAACCTTAATCTCTGTCATATGACCATGTTCTTAAAGCTCAGTCCAACACAGAGACCATTTTTAAAAGATAATGCATCTGGGCCATGGGAAAAAAACAGCAGTTATTTCCAGTCACCTGATTTTGAACCAAACCTGTAGCCTATGAGACACCGAGAAGGGCATATTTAGGGAGAGAGATAGAATTCCAAAAGTGACAATTTCTTGGTCCTCTGTCCCAGTGCCAGGCTGGCTGTGACCACAGTAACAGCACGTGCTGCTCCATGGATGGGAGCACCATTGTGGAGCAGCGCTTCTGTTTTGATTAGGATGGAGCAACACTGGCTGCAGAATTAAGAGCAGTCAGTACTCTTGATTAGAAATTCAGCTAAGATTTTCAAAAATGCACAGAACTCACATTGTGCTCCTGCAGAGCCTTTGATTAACTCCTCTAATTGGCTCTACAAGGGAGCATCAAGTCATTCTTCAAATCAGCAGAGGTCCAAGAGCTTTGTATCAAATGCAGAAAGCTCTGGAGACTCCTGGTCTGGCATTCTTCATGAAAACAGTTTCAGTAACCAAAGCATGAAAAAGTCAGGGAGAAAAAAAGTAAGAAAATCATGCTGATCTAGGAATAAAAAATATTCTGAAATTTCCTTTCTAATAGAAATAAGATGACAGCACTTTCCGTAAAAAAACCCACAAATTCTGCAATTTTTATTTTAGGACCTCTGAAACAACTGACTATGATATTTTGACAGTGTCAGATGTTCAGCTTTGACTTACAGTTTTCTTCTTTATATTCTTGTCTCAACCATAAATAAAATATTTCTATAGCTTTCTCTTGAAAACATAAAAGAAATCAATATCTTCCTACAAAATGTTACATTTTATCAAATCCATGTTTTGACAGAAAATTGCTTCAGCAGAAAGCTCTTTACCAGATCTTTCCAGAAAGTGAAAAATCACTAGCTAACATCTGTTTGACTCTGAAACGCTGAATATCTCACAGCCTCAGATTTCTCATCACAAAACATTTTAAAGGAAACTGTTCAAGAAGGAAGGATTCTATAAGCATTTTGGTGGTCAAGTTTTTTAATAAAGTCCTTTTACTAGAACTTCAAATTAAAAATAAAAACCATACATTAGCATGGAACCATAAAGAAATATCCTTTACTTATAATTTGGGGTAAGTTTTATATATTCTAAATAAAGATAGCTTTTATCTTACACTTCTTACCAGCTCAGAGTTCTCCCTACAATCTGGAGTTCTCCTTATTTCGCTTTTCAAGGCAAAGCTTACACACAG